AGAAAAAGTTCTGAAATACAAAGGTTAGCTTTACAGCATAAGGAAACTGACCTACCTAAGATGCTATTACTATTTTTATTTAATATATATGAGATCTCGTAAACGTATCTCAGCCATAAAAGACACATCGATGTTAAAGCATGCTTACTAGAAAAGCCATATGTATTTACTTTCAAAGATATTTTATTTATTTATTATTATTTTAATTTTTTTTTTATTTTGGAGGGAGGAGGTAATTAGGTTTATTTATTTTTAGAGGAGGTACTGGGGATTGAACCCAGGACCCCGTGCACGCTAAGCACGTGCGCTACCGCTTCAGCTATACCCTCCCCCTGAAAAGTCACATTTAGAATCAGAATTGTCCCTGTCCTAGTTGAAAATAAAATGAAAAAACCCTTTCAAAACCTTTTATAATTGAGAGAGAGCGAGAGGGGAAAGCAAATAAGAACAAGAAAAAGGAAGAAAAAAGAGCCCTCTTTGTGCCAAGGGAAATGATATCACATGCTTGTTTGTGTTTGGCACCCAACTTCTAGCCCAGCAACCTGAGTCTATGAACTTAAGCCTTCATGGGTGAGTGCATCAATTGGTTTTTGAGTCAGAGGATAGCATTACTCAATTAACTTTGAGACCAGCCCTTTCAAGAAATACATTTAGCTACGGCACACAATATTTCAATTCTAAAATGAGAATGTCAACTGTGAAAGGAAATTTAAAATTTCAGCTGTTTTTTTCTCTCAGCTCCTCCCACACTTACTACCGATGTGAAAATGTGAATTCAGGAAGCATTTAGATAAGCAGGGTGTGCATTCTAGGTTTTATGGCAGGCCTTTTTGCTTTAGTTACTTGGAGCCGGTCACATTCGAGGCTGATGCACAGAAATAATGCCTTGTTATTACTGGCTGCTTTGCCCTTGGTCAACAAAGGTAAACGTTCACTCTGCTGGAGCAAGAGAAGACAAAGAGGCTGGGAAAGCTCGGCTCTATACTGTGCAGCAGCCACAGTGCTTACCACGCTAACCCAGCAAGCTCGCTAAGCCAGGAAGCTCACTGAAGGCAGAACCCCAAGAACTGCTAAACCTAGGCAGAAGGAAGAAGAATGCTCGCAGTATAGAAGATGCTGTGCACCCTGCAGTCCACACACACACCCAGACTCCACACCTTTTGTAATTAACACGTTATTAACTTCTGCCTGGGCAGACACTTCTGATGTCAACTTGTCAACCAAAGATTTCTGGTTAACGTTACATTCTGTTTTAAACATCGGGGGCTTATCTATTACCCCAGCTGGGGAAGCCATCTACCGCATACCAGAAGCACTTTCAAATTTAAGGTGTGTTAATTTATTGATGGCACCAAAGTATTTCTGGTTGTTTTTCCAAGATTTCTAAGATACAAGCCAGCAGAAGTATTGTTATGATCATCAGTGGTCAAGCTGTAACTGACATTAACCAGACTTTGGATTTAAGAGAAAGACAAACAGAGAACGTGTGTGTGTGTGTGTGTGTGTGTGTGTGTGTTTAGGGTGTGCTTATTGGTGATATGGAGTTTTTTTTCCTTATAAGTTTTCTGACTTTTACTGAAAACGCAAATACCCACTTGAATGTGACTATATCTTTGCATGTTTTCCCTAGAGAACTTACAAATTAAAAAGGACATATCTTGAAAAATTACAATAATATAAGCTAATACTTGAGCACTTACTACGTGCCTTGGAGCTATTTTAAAACAGTTGCATGTAATAACTCATTCAATCCTAACACCAACTCTTTGAGATAGGCACTATTATATTCTTTGTAGAAGTGCAGAAATTGAGGATTTAAGTGCCTTGTCAAAGTTGCCAAGTTCACACAGCTGATAAAGCGTGGAACTGGGAGTCAGAGCTAACGGTGTGACCCCAGGGCTCCTGTTCTTGACTCCAGGGCATCCTGCCCTCTGTTAGTTAGCAAAGGGACAATATGGTATTATTTACCCCAAATTCCAATTTAGTCTTGAGTGTGAGGAAAAGTAGATTAACAAAGTAAGACTTGTAGCCTCTGAAGCAATTCGCACACACAGACCCAGGTTCAGATCAGAGATGCTCAGTTTCTACCGCTCCAAAGCCACAAGCTGCCGCCCCCTTCCCAGGAATACCTCTCCTGCTGGGCGTTCGGAGAGAAATGGATTGTTCAAGCCCACAGGAAGATCATGACCATTTTGGGGAGGCATGTGAGTGAGTAAGGAGCTGGAGCCACATGCCAGCAGGTATAATTCCTTGCAGACTTAAAAAAACAAAAGTCACTTATAAGACAGATACAATCTGTACAACAGGAAGGCAAACGTGGGAGACAATGAGAAAGTGATGTATCTGTATGAATAAAGAACTAGAATAAACATGAGTTCAATACTGCTACAGTCTGGTTTCAAAGTTGATAGATTTGAAGTACTCTGTGGCTGCTCTCACCGAGCTATGGGAAAAGGTCTCCAGATGGTCTCCCACGCAGAAGTCAGACTGGTACTACTTTGTAAATGTGAGGTGTGGTCACACGGTCTCAGGCAAACAGTCTGATGTTGAAATAGGAAAACACAGTCTGTCTACAGATGACAGAGAAAAAGGAAATTGTTTGAAGGCGTGTAGTCTACACTGTTGTTTTCACCTAAATGAAAATAAACACACGTGGTAGAATGTATGGAAGGTGAATAAAGAAACCAGTCCAAAGAAGATTCGTTCATCAAGAATCACAGGGTTTTAGAAGCTGGAAAGGTCTTCCTTAATGATCAAGTTCAACTTCTGCATTTCCCATAGATTACAATCAAGGTCAGCAGAACTTAGACTCTGTGGGTAGGTCTTATCTTCAGCTCTGGGTGTGAGGACTCACCTTTAGGGAGAGTGGATGGAGTGAGAAGACAAGAGGATGGTATGCAGAACTCGGGGAGCCCCGATGTCTGAGAGGTGGGCCAATAGAAAGCAACCCATGAAGACGACTGCTTAGGGTCAATGGAGAGGTGGTAGGAAAGCCAAGGAGTGTGATGTCACGGGAGCCTGGGAAGGAAGGGGTTTTAGGAAAGAGGAAGTGGTCGTGTTGAATGCTCACAAGCCCGGAACTGGGAAATACTCATTGGATTGGCTGGTTATTGATCTGGGGGGACCTGAGCAAGGGCAATTCCAGCAGCATGATCACCATGGAAGACGGCCATATTTTAAGCCACGAATGGGAGGTTAAAAAAAGTTAAAGACAGTGAGGGCAGAGCCCAAGTTCAATAAGCTTAGGGAAAAGAAAACGATGGATCAGTGGGCAAAGAAATGCTCAAGGGAGAAGGCCAGTAAAGAATGAGAGGAATCATTGGAACAATCATCGAAATAATTTGGGGGAAGACAAAAGAAACCGAGGTCTAAGCTCAGGCTGATGGACCGACCTTGAGAGAAGGAGATATCCAGCTGGCTCTGAGCTCCTACAGAGGGAAAGGGCGGGTCTACAGTGCCTACAGCCAAGTGGCTCTGTCAACAGAATTTTTATTTTTATGTTTCACTTTTCAAATCATATAGAGTTTACTTTGGTAAATGATGTAAGGTTAAAAATCCTCCGTCCCCTCTTGCCTGTGTTATATTTTGAATGAATGAATTAAACAGCACGCTCGCTCTAGGGGGAGACCCCCTCGCTCGCCAGAACCTTAGAGCAGCTATTGTTGGCAGACGGGCCTCCCACACACTCCCCAGCCCTCACCCTCCACTCACTGGAACAGCTTCCTCATTCTCCAGATCCCTCTACCAGCCACAGAAATTAGGTTCTCACGCCATCAGGAAGCACGGAGGAGGAGGTTAATAGGGAGGAGTTTAATGATCTTCAATCTTGTGAGGACTGTCAGTTTCTTAGCCCTGCCAGCGATCTATTTTCTTTGCTCGGTTTCTGCCAGAGGCCAGAGCAAGCAGCAAGTTGAAGAAAAAAGTGATGGCAGAAAAGAGCCCTCTTGAGAAAATCAAAAGAAAAGAGAGAGAGAGAGACTTAGAACAGGGAAGGTCTCCTGCTGAGATTACACCAGAGAGCTGGTTCAGAAAGAGAGGATGGTCACGTTAAAAGCTGCTCACGTGTGTTTGCTTGAGATTATGTGGATTATCTGTCACACTGGATGATCCAAACGGGTTTCCCTCTTCAAACACACATCCACGAGATGTCTGTTTGAGTCCTTTCTTGAGAACCCAAAGCTCAGTGTGCCAAGTCAATTAGGGGTCTATCCTCTAGCAAGAGATCAAAGCAACGTTATCTGACAAGTCATGTTGCCCCGACATTTCAGCAACATCTCCTTAACCTTCTTTAATTATAAAACCTGAGACACCTTTTTCAAATTGAATTAGATACATTTTCACTTGCACCATTTCGCCCGCCCTTACACTTAAAGGTCTGTCAACCTTAACTCAGGCGTAGAATGAAAAAGCCTCTGGATAATTAATCAAAGCCACAGTTTGCTTGTTTAAACTCACCCCAGAGGCGCTGGCAACAGCTCTTGTCTTTCTTGAGGTCATGCGCGCCTCAGTGTCCACCAGTCGTCCCCAAATTTTAGAAGTTTCGGGTGATAATACAATTCTGTGTCTTGTAAAGATATATTCACTCAGCAAGCATTTATTCAGCACCCAACACATACTTGACATTGAGCCGGTTGCTGGGAATATCAAGATTGATGAGCTATTAAACTGGCCCCTCAGGATCTCACGGAGAGAAAAAAGCACAAACGTAATTTTTAAAATTTCTACAATCTGATTTCTTTGGAGCTTTCACATCCTTCCTCAGAACACCAAGACCCGTGCTGTATCCACTGCCTTGTGCATTACCAGCAGAGCTGCTTTACCATAAAGAAGAAAAAGAGGACGTAAAATCTGGTTACACAAAATGAAAACTCTAGCTAAAGAGAAAGAGGCTTTATCTAAAAGAACAACACAGGAGACCACCCTCCGCTCAGTCGGTCAGTAACAGAGCACAGTAACAAACACATACGAACACACTACAGCAACCAGCACAAAAATCTTACCTGACTTGCCCACGCCTGCTCTTCCAAATATTGCCAGTTTGACCTCTGCACTTTTAGCCATGCCGGGTGTTGGCAGACAGTTCACTGTGGTTCAAATTAAAGAGCTGAGAAGATCTTTTTTGGTCCCAGTCTGTGGATTCACCATTTCATTGTAAATCTGCAAACAGCAGAGATTTGGGAATTCATAAATGACCAGAGAACGAGGGTCCTGTCTGTTAAGCATCCCCTAGATGCCAGGACCTTTCACTGGATCTGCATCTTCCCTGGAGATCTTCACCATTGTCCTGTGAGAAGGCTGGAGCAGTTTACTATAAACCATTCAACTAATAAATGATAGATCCAGGACTTTCACTTAGATCTGTTTGGTTCTAACACATACACATTTTTACACAAGATAGCATTTTCAAAAGTACTTCCTCAAAGAACGGGGTTTTTGCCAGTATTCAATAAAAAACACTTGAAGTATACGAATGCATGTATTTACCACGTGTCTGTAAACATCCAGCAGACACACACACGATGGACAGATTCACATTTGGATGGCTATTTCCCTTTGGGCTGAATGGTAAACATTCATATTAGCCAACAGCACTGTAACACTGTTGCATTTCACACTGCCTCACATGGTCAAGTCATGTGACAGATAACTTTGTTCCAGGAATTGACTTACAATGTGTAGATTATATTTTTCTATTTTTCTGGGCACAATGCCCTCGTACACAAAAGATAAATGCCACGTGCTGACTTCTGATTCCTTTTCTACGACAACATCAAGTAAATTATTTATGATACTGTCCTGACACTTGGGAAATGACATTATGTTCAATGTAAGCACGTTTTATATAAATGGATGCTCTGGGGTTGACATCGAGGTTGTTAGTACCATGGAAATATAAAGTTGGAAAGAGCCTTGGGGTCAATGAAAAAAATCCCCCAGCCATCACAGGAATCCTTCCTTATGATCAGACAACTATCTAACAGTCATCCTGCGTCCAATTTACCACTTCCAGGTATGGAGGGAGGAAGGGCATTAAGTCAACTTTTTCTTTTCTTTCACTCAGAGCCCTTCAAGCAGCCTAGCAGCTATTGGGAACCCTTGCCCCATCTCAGACGTGTACTTTCTAGGAAAACGAGACCCCGCATCTCCCCTTGTTCTTCCCGGGACGTCTGTTCTTTTGTAATGTTTTTCTGACCCTCACCTTCCCTCTTCGCCATCCCTAGCTCTCTCCTCCGGCACTTGCCATTTCGATCACTCTAAAAACGTGGCATCTGCTGCCTTCGCCCCTTGAGATGCGACCTGACAAGTGACCCAGCAAAAGTTCCCTGAGATTCTTCCTCTTCTTTATCTGGGCACTGCAGTTGCATTTTGGTGCAGTCACTCACATCAAGGCTCACACCGTCCACATGATTCTGAACTTCTGTGGTCAATGTGTTCGAGCGAAACACAAGACTTCACTTTCAAGTCTGCTATCTGGGCTGTTTCCACCAGTGTTTTGGCATCTACAGATTTTTTAAAAAGAGCTTCTCTAGAGAAAGGAAAGAGTAAATGTCCTTCTGAGAAAGCATTTCTACCAAGACATTAATATGTAATTGCTTCCCTCGTTAGACATCAAAGCCATCCACTCGTGCCTCACAAGTTTTGGTGAAGAGGGAAGATTTCCAAATGCCAAAGCTTCATCTAAAGGACGAAAAAGTCAACATTAACATTGGCTGCTGTTTATCTCACCCCCAATAATTAAAAAACTACTTAGTGACCATTAATAGTACAAAACCTAGAAGCTTTAACATCTGTAATTTGTCCAGTCCCATACTTTTGGCTAAAGATAAAAGAATTCATTATTTGTCATTTTATACACATTCATTAAAAAAAAAAGCCTCTGCTTAAGGTTCCGTGCTTCATCGCGGAAGCATAATCTATTAAGATATATTCACTAAATAAAGTCCACATAAGAATTGCAAGCATTCCTTTGATACATAGAACATTCAAGTGTCTGGAACTCATGTAAACAACAATTTGTTATTTCATGCAAAACTGTTCATTCCCATGCACATAAAATCCAAATAATTTACCAGCTGATTTATGCTTTATGAAAGTAGCTATCACATTAAAAAAAATTGTTAAGTCACATTTTTCAGTAACTCCCAAATGACCTCAGAGGCATAGGAATTTCACATAAGAAAGAGAAATTGTGTGGGTTAAATTTTTCGTATATAATCTAATAAAGGCACAGATGGTTATTGTCAATCTTATGTTATGTTTAGAAAAATCCCTTAAAGGAAAACACAAAACTGACATATATCTTTCAACGTTTTATTTCTCACATGAGAAAATGTATTTCTTACATTTGACAAAGATAGAAAACAAAGATAAATGTGTAAATTGTTTTAAAAGGTGACCTGTTGCCAAGTCATTGACGTTGGAAACAATTAGCAATCCAAGACCTTCCATAACATGGATCTAGGAAAACATTTGTTTTCATGTTGTTGTGCGAAAATATTCTGGCTGAGTCTAGAAGCTGTCCACTTTTCACATGGACAGTGCTTTATTAGGACAAAAACTTCCCAGTTCCTATCATTCCTAAAGCTAAAATCACACCTAGATATTTAGGAGATTAAACGTGTAGGAATTTTCTTCTAAACATAGAAGTGCCAAAAGAAAGTTAGAAGACAAAAAGAAGCTAGACTCCAAATTCTGTGTTACTATTAATGCATGCATTGATTTCATTCCACATTTATGCTAATCATATACAAACAATCATATATCAAAACGAACGTGGCCACCGTCAAGGAACTTACAATCCAATAAACCTATGGCATTCAGTTCACTAATAACTTGATTTTCTTATTTATTTAAAAACAATGATTTATTCATATTTATTAATAGTAAATTCATTCCCAAGACTATTATACTTATCAAGGTCCATGCTTTCTACTTCCACTTGGAAAAAAAAAAAGCAAGCATCTTTATAAGGTATTGGTTTTTCTAACTCCTTTTTTTAGGGTCTCATCAAAATCAAGTTCAGGTGTCTAGGGAAGCAAAGAATCTAGCCTGGTCTTTGGGATGAGATCCTCTTTGGGCTGCCCCTTCCCCTGGATCTAAAATCAAGTTTTCCTGGTCTCACTACCAGGACATCTCCCTCATCTGACGCGGCACACACAGGGACGAGGATAATTAAGACCCCGGCTATGGCACTGCTCTGAACGCAACAGGTATCCTGCAGCGATAAACAAGCAAGCCGCTTGCGGACGGCAGGTCCCTCGCTCTCCACCGAGGGAGCAAATGCAGCCTAAGTCAAAAGGGCGTTCTCGGTCGCACGCAGCGCGGACGGAGGGCGCCGGCGCTCGCAGCTCCCTCTTGGCGACCCCCAGAGGCGCCGTGGGCGCACCCCGTGACCAGGAGGACCGCCCCAGAGGCCGAGCGCTCAGGGCCTCGGAAGGGGCTGCAGGAAGTGATCCGGAAAGAGCCACC